ACCTAAATTATGAAAGAATCATTGAAAGCTGGATCTGCAGTAAAACCTTTATCCTGTATATCTATATTGTATGCACTTAAAGGAATTCATATTAAATAACTAACTCCCTGGTAGCAGAACCCGCAGGTTCAACACTGACAACACCAAAGCCCGCCACCAGACAATCCTGAGCTAACTCAGTCCACTTACCATTCTCATCTCCATCTTGATATCCTCCCTTCTCCTTGGTCTGCCCAGTGGTTGTTTTCAATAATGATTCCCCAACAAAATTCTGTATGCACCCCTTGTCCCCCCCCCCCAAGTGTGCTACATGTCCAGCCCATTGGAACCTCCTAGATTTAAATGAGATGATTAACACTTTTTGAACCGAATAAGAGCAAGTGTTCCCCGAATGTATTCTACTCTTAATTTCATCATGCACCTCATTTCTGTTTGTTATTGTTGTTCACAGGTACCTAAATTTGGAACGAAAGTGTTACTTCTTGCACAATTATCGTAGGGGTCATTAAGGAGGGAATTCTGCAATTCTAATTTTGACGTGTTGTAATTTATGTCCCCCTAATTCGTATTTCTTAATTACACACGCGTGTAACTCTTAAAGGAGATGCGAAACGGTGTCTGAAGACCGAATTTTATAATCCACTTATTCCGTGTCAGCTTAGGTCGAATTACGTTTGGAAAAATCATAAGACTGCCCAACTCAAAGATTCATACCAAATATCTAAATGCATTAATAATTTCAGGAGTAATTCTGAAGTATAACAGACTACAATACTTAATCCATATAAGTTAGAAGAAGAGTCAAACTAACAACGAAATCTTTATCAAGTTAATGTATTTCAAATGTGTGTGCTTAATGACAGAACTCAAGTCTATTTTTAAGGTACTTACCAAATAGTCTGTGTTCATTCCGTGTGCTTAATTAACTTTCGTTTTCGTTTGTTTTGGCCAGTGGATTGATTATTTTCTGGTTCATACTGTGAAGTTAATTGATATGAATGAATTGCTTAGTTTTGGTTGTTGCGTTGTTAGATCGTTTCTGTACGATGTCTTTTTTAAAAGTTGCAATGTAGTGTCAGCCTTGGGGGTCTATATTTGAGTCTCTGTAGAGTTATATTGCTTTAAGCAAGAGTGAGAGTTTGTGCGGGAATTGTGACTTACTAACCTTGGTGCTAAATATAAATTTAAAGAATTCCACTTCATCGCGTATTGTCGAACTTCGCTCAATGGTGGGACGATTTTTTAGCTTCAGACTCGATAGCCTTCAGACCACATTTATTGGAGACGGTAGTAGTTTTGACCCTTCTATTGTGGGAGCTTGTGTAACCTTCCAACTCAACCGACTGCTTTCTGAAATTGCCCATTCGCGTGTTTTATCTCGGGTACTACGTAACTGGCGGCTGTTCCTCCATCCTCAACCTGAGGACGTGCTATGTCATGGTGACAGGGACCCACCTAACATTGAAGGAATTCATGTTGAGTGAAGAATAATAAATTTTGTTTCCTAAATTTCTCTATAAATAGGGTTTGCTGATTTTGGTCTTGTGTCAGATGAGAAAGACTGGTTATAGGCATTTAAATTTCTCAGACAGATTCATACACTTTCATTGTATATGTCAGCTTAATTAATTTTAAAAATTATATGTATTGTACATTGTCAGTATTACTACTTTGTTTTTGTAGGTTGCATCATAAATATATATATATATATTATTGCTTCTGTGAATATGGTTTGCATATAATGTATACTTCTTGCTGTGTATTGAAGATGCCTTTAATGAAATGAAGTAAGTGTTAATCTTGCCATTACTTAGAAATCCTGTACAAATGTAAAAGGTATAGATTTGCTGCAGGAATGTGGATGTATGTATCATTAGACTCCATACTATGTTTAGAAGATGGTTTTAGATTCTGCCCATCCCACTTTTATTCCTTTCAATTCTAGTCTTTTTTTAAGCCACCCAATGTTTAGCTTTTTGTATGCTAAAAACATAATGCATCATGGATTGAGACAGTTTGTTGGCACCAACATGTCACTATTTTCTGCAGTCAGAAACTTAATCACTGGTTGCTGTTCATTGCACAGAACTAATAATCGTGTACTACTGATGAAACATTTTATCTGAAATACAAGATCCAAACCTTTTTGTGTGTAGTCAGTCCTGTGTTGCATTTTCTCACTCTTTGTGCTAAAGAGATGCATGTCATGGATCAAAATAGTCTGACAGTGACAAAGAAGTAGTTAAAACTGTCATTTGTGACATTATCAGGAGCAGTAAATGTAGTTAGAAGTGTAGTTTTATCTCTGCTTTGTGTCTCGCTTGGGAGGTATGTAAGTCCAATCACGACTTTCATATTACATTGTGTCATATTTACTCTTATTTTATAAGATGGATTGACATGTCATTGTGATTTAGTGGAAGATTTTTTTTTATTATTACTGGTACTGAAACATATGTCAACATATTTACACCTTGATACAGAATGTTATAAAAAACTGAAAAAGTGATCCTCTTTTATCCTTACCACCTCACACCCAGCCAATTACACAGTTCACGTCACTATAGCTGTCCAATTACAAACTACTCATCAAGGAAGAGGCATCAAATGCCATGTGATAAGAGGTTCAGGGATGTTGGATTCCATCTGCCTGAAAGTTTGTCAAGTTTCAGGAGATGTCGACTATTTTCAACTAAAACACGTGAGAAACAGTCTAGATTTCAGTGTTCTAAATGTCTAGTGCCTTTATGTATTTCACCTTGTTTTCAGCAACAATAGATGTGGATCAGAGTGATGTGATGCTTCATATGAAATTACGAGTAGACAGAATAAAAGTTTTTAAGAATATTGATCATTTAGAAGAAGAAAACTATAAATTTACAGAACATTGTTCACAATAATACTCACAGTAAATGTGGTTTCTTTTCTTGCATATTTATTTCATGTTTCAAGTTGTTTATTATGAAAAATTAAAGTTTTCTTTCCGTATTGCTGCAACAGTACAAATACTGGTGATTTATACGTCTTGAAGTCCTTTTATTTGTGTATTCTGCGTGGAGTATATAAACTTAACACAAAATGTGGAAGTTGGGGCTGTCCATATGTTTTGTATTAAAAAATACTTAACAGTTTTAAAAGAAATTAGTTATTTGGTATCTACAATAAAAGGTGGCAGGTCAATTTATGCATGGTTTGTTTCAGTCCAGAAACTTCAATGTTCTCAGAAATAGGTCATTGTACAAGAAATTGGAACATGACATGAAAAGATTAATCTGATTTAGGTTAACCGCTGCAATTTTAAACAGTTTTCAGTGTGTGAATGTTTTACAGATTACAAAAGGACCGATTTCTAACCTAATATAGTGCATCTTTAATATTATTAGTTTTGCTTCTACAGTTGCTTATATGTAATGACAGATCTGTATTTTCATTGAGTGAACAAGGCCAGTGAGACATACATACCATGAAGAACACATTTAGTAATTACCAGTACTCTATTTCAGTTTTTCTTTCTACTAATTTGTTTTTCAGCTACTGTAGCCAGGTGATAGTGCAATGTTACGTTGCCACAGACACATCATTTTTTATTTACGCAGCACAACAAAATTCCATTCAAGACTCTTAACTAATAATCCTGTTTGGTTCTGGATACATTTTTAAGAGGAGAGAGCTGTGAATTTGCCATAGACAACTGACTGTGCTTTGACATGTTTATAAGGATAACTTTTAACACGCTAGCATGCACTGAACTCTCCGTCACAAAGTCAGAATTATACAAGCAGCAGCTGATCATGTGTATTTCCAGTTCATTTGTCCATGGTTTGTAATGGTATATTGTATTATCTTCTTGTTACATTAGTTTTGGGGAGTAGGCAGGACTACAACACACAAAATAAATTTTAGTATGCAGAATTACATATAAAGATTAAGCACAGTGTGGAGCATTGACAGGAAGAACATTTTTAGACCTGTTCTTGATGAAGATGTTGAATTGTGCCCATTAGTTTTGCCATGTCTGTCTGCATATAAACAATGAATGGATTTTATATTTGAATAGTTTTATTGAAATATGATGACACACTTTAATTCATGTTAAAATTACACAGCAATACTAGACACTTCACAAAACCTACATCTTGAGTGTATTTCACTTGAAATTGGGATAAGAAAATATGTGACACATAAGTTGTAGAAAAAATTAAACACGTCATTTGCTCAGTACACTTTTCCCATAAGTCATGTGGTTTTCGGGATAATTAAACAAAAAATGTTTCTGTTCTGTCATATCATAACTTCAGAACTAGTGAACTGATTTTAGTCAAATTCCATCAAATAGTTTGTCTGTCCCACCTGCTTAATTGCATTTATAAGAGATCATTGAAAGTTACTATTTAAAAACTTAAAATCTAGATGAAATAATAGCAGATGTGCAAGAATTGTTATACTGTGCATACATTTCCTAACTTGTCTGTTTTACATGATTGAGGAACTGAAAGTGACCAATATCTTATCTCAGTAATGAAATGAAATGTCATTGTGCTCATAAAATTGCCACAAACATGATGCTGATTGAAATATATTCAAAAATATGTATTTTGTCCTAATGACTTAAATACATAATATTGAAAGTGTGTTGTTGATGGTATTTATATGAGGAGCACAAAGTTCTGTTGTAAAGAAAAAAATTTCTGCCTTTATCTGTGTGGGGAACAAACCGCATATCTATAATTATTTTTGCTAGTATTTTATGTTTTGTGATATAACTTTATTAAATTTTTTGCATTTAAAAATGTTGACATTATTTTTGCCTTGTTAAAAGTGGAAAGCTGTGTAGCTTATTCATCATCATCGCCTTCTTTTCTGTATCCTCAAAATTAATAATCAGGCTCAATTCTTGCCAGTAAATATTGTGTACTTGGATAAAGAAAATTTGAGAAGTGTTCTCTATTTATAAACATCACATCCCCAGTACTTAAACTATTAGACTCATCAGAATTTTGAAATGCATCTTGAAGTGAGGTTTTAGAGGTATATAATCTGGACTGACACATTTTAATAATGGGAATCTGACTACCCTATTCATTACTAAATACTGTAATTTATAATCAGTTTTCTGGAATTTAATATGAAATTTCAGAACATCTAAGGCTGTTTTTATTTAATTTATTAGCATAAGTGCATGTAATCATATATATTTCTAGAGTGATGAATATCATGCAGTTATATATGATTTGAAGCTTTCATGGTGACATAACTCAATAAAATCTCAGGCGATCAGCCGCGTCAAATGGTTAAACAATAAAACCCGACGTTTCAGGGACTGGTTCTGAACCCTGATGATGGGGGACATAGATGGTTCCTGAAACGTCGGTTTTATTATTTAACCATTTGACGTGGCTGATCATCCGAGAATATTTTATTGAATCATGCAGTTAATCTCAAATTAAACACTAAAATGTTATGTGAAAGACAGTGTTGAAGTAGAAATATAAGTTTGAGGAAATGTAATCAATTTGATTGTACAGCACATAGCCTCTCCCATATATGTGGTGTAACTTAAATTTGTGACAGAGTTGTAAAGGTGAGATTACACACAAAATAAATTATAAAAGTTTGTATGATCATGGGTTCAGAGGAGCCACCCTTTCAGGTTATGGCCCACTTTTATTTCTAGCATGAGAGACATTCAGTTCAGAAATCAAGAACAGTTTAGCATTCATGTGTGAGCAGGTATCATTGGTGATGTTTTGGCAGACCCTCATGTTTTTTCCAGAAATACTGACAGGGAATGACATTGTTACAAAATGATCGTCTCTCGTTATTACATTTTTACATTGTTAGCAATTAGAGAACACATGAATGGTTCATTACATTATAGATTGATAATTATTGGATATATACCCTGGCTAGCGTATGAGCCTACTGTGTGGCCCCCATGCTCTGCTGATTTACACCCAATACATTTTATCTGTAACAATTCAGGTACCATTCAGTGACAACACTATGAAGCAGACCTTTGTGTTTGGAGAACTGAAACTGATAACTCTGTTGTTCAAAAAGCTGTTGCAGCAGTAAGTGGTGGCATCAACCACTTTGTGGACATTAGTGTTTGAACTCAGTGTCACCACCAAGTGATCTGTGTGTAACCAGCCTTACATACTCTAGTTTACACAGTGTAGTAACTCTCTGTGGCAAGTTGAAGACGGCTGCCATACAATCCACAACATCCTAGTATGTTTAAAATGTGTTCCCAAGACATACTCAGTATGACATTGTGAGCACTTGCCGTGGGATTTCCCAAGTGTGAAGAGTAATGGAAGTATGACACCATATTAGAAGTTTTGGTTCGGTTAAATGGTCTGTAACTTGTAAAGGAGGCTTTACATTTGTTATACACCTTTATGTTATACTCTGTATAGGCCTACAGTAATTTTAACAATGTTACCAATAATACTGAAAAATTCAGTAAATTGTGTGAATTGTAAGAGTGATGTGTAGTACCGTAGTCATTGATGCCTGTAGTGAATTAATGTATATGCAGGAAGCAGTAGTTTTGAGTTCAGAAAAATGTATCTTGCAACACTTTTTTAATGTTCTTGTGCTGAGTACTGTACTTTATGTGTAAAATGTGTTAACCGTTAAGGCATCTGAAATAAAACTGAATTATAATTGATTGCTTGGTGTTGGTACAAAAGAAGAGATGGTAATCACACTCTTTTTGCATTAGCATAGAAATTTAATTTATGAAGAAATGTGGTTTTATCTGTAAGATTTACTGTAATTGATTCCTGAACCAAAGGATTTTCTATAAATTTGTTTTTATGGCTGTTCTGAGATATTCTCTTGTGAAGCAATTTGTTTTGAAATGTTATTTTATATCAGGGATTGAGAGGTGTGGAACAACAGAATTCACTCTTAGTATGGATTGTTGTATTGTTGAAAAGCAGTGTGCAATGGTAACCATAGCAGTGTTAGCATTAAAGGAGTTTTAGAAATGTAAATTATAGTCCACCAGTTGAATTAATAATAGCAGTAGTTTATAGGAAAAGATCCAATGGCAGAGTCTCTTCCATTTCTCTGCCCCTAATATTGATACCAAATGTGACAGCTAACAGCTGTAGAGGGTTAATGCTGAATTGTGGATGGGTCTGTTCTTCAAATGTGTGAGAAGAATCTTGAGCATTTTGGAAGACTATTCATGACTCTTATGTTTTCAAGATAAAGTGCAGGAACAGATACTAGCAATTTTCCAGAGTCATGAGTACATGAATGTCTTGATCCACAGTTGCAAGAATGTCCTTCAGTAGCCAGAGAGATCATTCCTCTGAGAGGGGAGACTTAACAAGACTTACAGAGAAGATGTATAGTTGAAAAGAGGAGAGAATCCTTCTGGTGGTGCCCTGTGTTATAGAGTGTTTCAATATTTAATGTACTAAGAAATGTGTCTATTGGTGTAAGTAATTTTCAACTTTTGTTATTACTCTTTCAAACAAAATATGTTGATCATGTTATCCAAAAGTTTAGTATGGGTATCTTAATTGATCCCTGACCTTCAGGGAAGAACGTGGTATTTAAGAACAGGGTGCTAAGGAGATCATTTGGAGAGAGAGAGACAGTAACAGGAGTATAGAGAAGATATCTGTCTTCTGGGTTGTTGTGCTGTGTAGTCTGGTCGATGTTTACCAACGTTTCAGAGGTCATACTGCCTCCGTCATCAGGGCGATTCATCACCCTGATGACGGAGATGTTGGTAACTGATGTAACAAAAATCTTTGAACACTAGTTAAATTTGTGTCCTAAGTACGTCCTTTTATTTACCATCAAAGTATTTTCAGCAAGTAGGTTACATTTAATGATGAAGCAAATAATGTTAATTTTTGAACACACATATAGCTTATAAGCATATAGCATGTACATAGAAGTTCTTAATATTTTATCAACTTGTAATAGCAAAAGAACATGTATAAAGTTACAGTGTATATTATAAAAGAAACTATTGATGTTTGTCTTTTTTGTGCATAGGATAGAAAGAGACTTTATTGTGACAAAAACCAAAAAGGGAAGACATTGTTTGTTGCGTGGTCAGTACAGACATCGAAAAGCCCGTGAAATAAGAGGTGGAATCGTCATATGGAGGTAATTGAGCTCATCAGTATTGTGTAGCTGTTAACATCTTTCTATTCAGTTTTATAAAAGATTCTTAAAGATAGTGCCAACAGTGCATTTCTGTGCAAATGATACTTGGTAAACAAAATTACAGTATTTCATTAGTCCTTTTATTGTAATAAATTAGTCTGAGGTCAAGACAACATTGTGTAGTTGGCATAAGAAATACTTGAGTTTCTCAGAATTGTTTGAGAAAATTGTCTTCTTGTTCACATGACCAGAATTACTCCTTTCAAGAATTATAGAATGAGATTTAAGCCCCCAAGTTGTTAGTTTTTGTTTTACTTATTCATGGAATTTGAAACTACATGTTAAAATAAAATTAATCATTTATGGAAATATTTGTTTGCCAAATATAAGTGCTGGTTTCAGTTTTTAACTGTTGCTGATACTAAACAAGGACACATGTCACTGAAAGCTTCTCTTTTTATAAAATAAACTGTCAAACATAATTCAGATTTCTATCATAACCATCTTGAGCCATGGGTTCCAACTTCATGACTGGATATTTAGAGGTATGCTTTTCGATATGATTCACTGTCACAAGTGAATATCATTTTATTTACTTTATTGGTCAGCATTTTGTTATTAACTATCATATATTTCCTTTTTCAGATCACAGAAAGAGTTTGAAAATTTGTGTTATCTTCAAGTATCTGGTTCATATACCGCAATTATCATAAAGCATTGTATAATACAATATATTGCATGAAAGCAGTTGCTTTTGCATGTCAGTTGTGACAATAAAAAATTAATTGTAAAATATAAACATATTAAATGCAGGGGATTTTAAACGGTACTGTTCACTTAACCATTATCTGCCAGTATTGCCAGGTTGCACATTACTACGTAACCTCATCTGTATAGTGACTTTTTGAACATACTGTTATGTATGTGGAGATAAAATGATCAGGGAAGAATTTATTATGCCTGCTTTCCCTCAAGTGTTTTAACTAAAGTAAGTAAATAAATAAAACTAAAATCTAAATTTGGATTTTTGCAAAGGTTTCATGTTTTTTTGCCTTAACCAATTTCAGAACCCAGCATTAAATGATGGATGTGCCACTTTTAGCTTGGAAGTTTACACAGGCACTGTATGGAAATCATTGAATAGAAAGTTTGAACATAGGGTGGTATCTGGTGCCATGTTTGCACCAGATGTAATAAGAATCAAAAATCTCATCTGTTTTTGCTAAAGTAATTAGGTGGGACAGATACATTGACAGGATGAATGATGTCATTTAGTATGCAGTTAGTAGTAGTAAAACAATGCATGGTAATCAAACAAAGAGACAATAACCTAGTTTCAAAGTGGTAAAAAATATACAAAATGTTATGTGCAGGTTTAGTGCTAATTTTCAGTTTTATAATTTGAGTTCTGTTTCAGATCAATTATGCATTGACATATGTTGGAAAGCACCAAGCATTGAAAATAACATGTAACACATGTTTCAGACTACTGTTGTTATTGACTACTGACAGTATTATGAATTTTATATCTCAAAAATGCTCATATAGAAGGGAGATGGCTGTATTCTGGGTTGCAGCACCTCTATCATCAGAGCAGTGGGTCACTCATCACCCTAAAGATGGAGACAGCAAGGACCTTTGAAACATTGTTAAACTTCTACCAGACTACATGGTGCTACAACCCAGAAGACAGCCGACTTTGGACTCACCACGTGAAAATTTCAGATTTTGCAATGCTTATATACTTAGTTTGTAGTAAGCTAATTATGTTCTGTGATTAAAAACTAAAAGAATTCCTTTATTGATTCAGATCCATACCTTTATGGCTTACATTATACTTTTTGTGTGTTCTAACCATTCATCAGTCTCTCAGTGTGTTTCATCTTCCAAATTATGTAATAGATTTAACTAAGATTTGGCATAAAGATCTGTAGCAAACATTGTCATTTCATATTTCTCTGTACCAATCCACTGTAACCACAAACTTTCCGGAGGTCTAAAATGACTCATTGCAACATGAAATATATTTCTGTAAGGTCTATAACTTGAATTTGAGAAATTCCTAGTGCTGTACTAATATGGAAAAAAGATACATAATCATACAAATTGTAGCATCTCTATTCTTAATGAGCTCTGTCGGCAATAAATCTGTATCTGTAACATATGTATATATAATACATCAAGAGGACTGAGGATGAAAAATTGTAAATGATGTATTTGGAAACTGTGTACTACATCTTTCCACTATTTTTATGAATTATTTATCAAACTTTTACCACTTACTGTTCTTATAGAAATTAAAGAAGAGTGGAGTCATGTCAGTTAACAGTATCAGCATGTGAAATGAAGAATAGTATATATGCTTGTTTGTATTTGAAATTGTTCTGTTTAAATATTCACAGCAATTGAGCCCTTCTTTTGCATTCAGTCTTAGATTTAATGTATTCATTGTGATAAGTAATTCAGTTACAAGTACAGGACTGTTTCTTGTCAGAACTTTATTCCAATGTTTATTTTTAGGTGCACGAAGAGCAGCTGCAATGCTCTGCTGAAGACTGATATTAAATGTACCACTTTGTTAAATTCAAGAAATACACATAACCACAAAGAGATCTCCTGGGAAAAGTTAGCAAGAGAAGAATTCCATAAAGACTGCCAGTGTCAAACATGGGGTGTAAACAGCAGTGAATTCTGTCCATTGTTTTCTTCTATAAGTTCCAGTCCAGAAACTTATAACAACTAAACCTGTGGTACTCAGTATTATAACAGTCAGTATTTTAAGTAACAGTTGTATTGTACTGATAATAATCTGCAGAAATTTAAAAATAAATCTTTTGTTTAATTGTACAGTGGATCTAACAAGCATCGTGACATTTGTTTCTTGGAACCTGGATGACAGAAGAATCAGAATCTATCATAGTTTCAAAGAAATATTGATGTGTGATAGAAAATATTTCTTTTGCACACTCTTGTGTTAATTTTGGTCATTTCTACAATTAAGTGTAAAACCTCTAGCCTTACTTTAGTTAAATGTTTGTGCAACAATACCTTGCCAACTGCAGATTTTAAGTATCTGTGGCTTTTCATTTTTATCATTTTTCGAGTTGTAATATTTTGATTTATATTTGTGTGCCCAGAAAAAATATGTAGCCTCTACATCAAATATTTCACATATGCTGAGGGTAACAGCCTAGTTTCCAGATTTCATTTGAGGTGTGTGTCATTTTGTGAAAATCTTATGTATTAATATATAATGTTATTGTTTGTGTTTAATAAAGAATTAGACGTCTTATTTAGGTTTTGGTGGTTGCGAAGAGCATCCCTGATTCTCCTAACCTCCAATTTCCCATAATGGCTTGGTCTTACCAATCATGTTGTTTGCCAGGAGCATAACACAACAGTTGGGAGGGGATTACTTTATTTATTATCTCATATTTATGTCAATTGATTGTTGTACTTTATATAGTATTGAATCAAGAAAACGTGTGTGTAATGGATTATTTATTATGTAGACCTAAGATTCAAACCAATATAGTGTACATACTAATACATGTTAAATGTGAGTTCACAGTTTAATCTCTCAGTTGGTGTTACTTGTAACAGATAGTTAAGTAATTCTTGGGGTAAATGTTATGTATGCCGCTTCTTATTTATGCATGTAACAGCTGTAGCCTATCACATAAGGCAATTGGAGGTGGGTCTTGGTACAGTTTTGGTGATGGCTGATTTTTCAACCACCATTCTTCATTTCAGCAGTGCCGCCTGTCTCTGATTTCCAGTCATTTATAGTTCACAGCAAAGTTAATTTGTCTTGATGGTGATGGTTTGCTTGCTTGAAAATCTCCTAATTTCAGTTTGAATTATTTTGTCCCTTCTGCTTTTACCTCATGATCATTATCCACTGTCAGAATGGCCAGGATGTGGAGTGTATGAATGTACTCCAGTTTCTTATTGGCTGAAGAGTGATAACTCATGCATTTATTAAAGGAGTAGCAAATTTATATCAGCTGACGAGACGGAAGAGAGTTGTTTTATTCCAGAGTAGGGCACTGTAGAATTAGATTTTGTGATACAGTAACTATTGTGGTCTGCTATGTTTAAAAAATTGTAGATAGCATTCTGGTGGCAGAACCTGAAAATTAAACTCTGATAATATCTGAACTGGCTATTAGATGTAACTTGAGCCACTTCCATTCACTCTCCATCATCACAACCTGTTTCTGTAACATCTTTAAAGATACCCTCCTTGTTTTTCCACGTGATCATTTCCAATATGTTGTCCACAAAAATCCTTTATTTATTCCTTGTCTGCTTGATCCTGGCTACATTCTCAGCCTGTCATAACCTATGTTTAACTATCCTAAATTGCTTGCTTTATATATTTTTATGTCCATATATTATCCAGAGCATTTTATTTTCAAACCAAACCCTTATGGCTCTTACCTAACATCCTACATCAAGTTATTGTTGCTGCTAATTCAGAAATTTGCATGTCAGCCAGACTGTTATCAGTGCTAGGAAATTAAAAGATGATATAGGTGGAGTTGCCTTTAGTGACATGATGTTTGTAGTAATCTTTACGTAGACTCTACAGAATGTACATAAGTTGAAAGACCATTATAAATGGTCTTTCAGCTTATGAGTATAAATCTATATGAGCCCTTAGTCTGATATCAAATGCTTTTCTTTTTATTACCTTGTATAAATAAGTTACTATACTGGTAGATTTATGGTTTGATATTTTATTAATGGGTCACCATAGAAATGGAGCTCCAGAGTGAAGGTATTATATAGGTTGAAGATGGCTGTCTTCTGGGTTGTTGCTCTGTGTAGTCTGGTAGAAGTGCGCAACAACCCAGAATACAGCCATCTTCAGACTCACCACTGTGAAAACCTCAAATTCTACATAGTATAGGTAATGCTCAAAAAATGCAGTCTCATTTTAATACCTTTACCTAATTGAGACTGATACCAGTTAATAGCACTCACATTAATGCAAATTGTTTGCTGGCTGTTTGAATGAGGTGGGGAGGAGGGGAAGTAGTATATTGTATGGGTGGCAGAGGAGGAATGTGGGGGGATAAGGGATTTTCTTTCTTGATTCATGTGATTTCACTCTTTGCAACACAACTGTCAATAAATTGGAGGATACCTGTGTATGAAAATAGGAATATCAGCCAAGGTGGACAAAATTTTAATGTTGCGCAAACTCTCAGCAATTTCAAATGATTTTATTGGAATATTTTAATGAAAGAAAAGTTCCTTAATGTTGATGTTGCCATTGAGTAGGTAAATAGTAAAGTGTATTCATTGATGTAGTTATGCACATAATCTGAAAAAGGAAAATGTTCCATCAGTATTCAGTTTTTATATAAATACATATTTAGATTGCTTCATATATGTTATACATTAAATATTTTTATCAGAATTTGTTTATTTTTAACAGTTGCATTTATTTTAATAAGTCCACCACAGCTGTCACATATGACAGATGTTAATTGTAGATGGAAGATAGTTGAATGTCTAGCTTCTTACTGTCGTAGAGCGGCCTTCTTAGAATTGAGTTTGTCTTCACTGTTTCACTATTAATGTACAGTACACATGTGTATTTGTCATAATATATCAGCTTTTGGAAAACTTTATCTCTTCACATTTCTCATTCCAGTACTTTCAGCATACCCAGGTCTAACAAGTGGTACAGAATATATGTTTTCTTTTTGTTTTTGATGTTTTCACATTTTTGTAGGTGATCTTGTGTGCCAACATATCAGATAAATTGTCTTCTCATAGACTTTCCTATGAAAATGGAGATTGTTAATTTTTTTATTGTGGGAAATATGTAAGTGATTTAGGATTAACAAAAAAATAATAGACCACCAAACAACAGATTTCATTCTCCATCCTGTGGAGCAAATTTACCCTTTGTTTTATTTCGTTAGTCAACTTGACCGTAATTCTTATGTTTCATTTTTAGATTGTGAACAGTTCTCCATTAGTGACATGGTAGGACCTGGTAGAAAATCACTTTTAATTATATTCTATTCATTGCAATCAACTGAAAGCATGTAATTTTCAACTATAATGACATTTCCACTTTTGTATCACTTTTAGAATTTATATTAATTGGATAAAGCCTATCTAAAGAGCCGATTGATGTTTGTTTTTCTTTATAGGCCTGAAAGAGACTTACTTGTGACAAAAACCATTAGGGGAAATCATTGTTTATTGCTTGGTCAATACAAATATCGCAAGGCGCATGAAACAAGAGGTGGAATCATCATGTGGAGGTAAAAGAATTCTAAAATGTATTTTCCAGTGACGTGTTAACTTTTGAATATTTATTTGAATTTGACATTTTTATACTAGACTTGCTAGGATGTAGAATTATAAACTTAAATTATTTTTATATGTAATGATATTTTGTGCTTTCAGTTTACACCATAAATTAGTTTAATGTAATTGTTACAGTTTAATTTATTACTTTTTAGGTAATAATTTAGTATGTATGTATATTTTAGGTGTACAAACAGGGCATGCAATGCTGTGTTAAAGACAAATCTTGGATGCACTACCGTGTTTTACGCGAGGAATGTGCACAGTCATGAGAAGATTGGTTGGCAAAAGAAACAGAGAAATATGTTATATAAAAAAATTTGAAATTATAAATAGAAGAATGTGAAAGGAAGGAGTTTGTGTTCATGCTCTGAGTCTCCAAGATGTGATGCCTCCACTAGTCACAGCCCCATGGTCTACAGTTTACCAGTGGAATGAAGTGTTTATGTGATGAAGTTACTGAAATAGGGAGCCTGAAGGGAAGAGAATATTTAGAAGATATAGGTATATATATATATATATCCTGTATCCAGGTGTTTGGAGGACGTCCTCTTTTCGTTCTTCCAGGCGGTACCCATTCCATGACCTTCGGTAATCTCTCTTCTGTCATCCTTTTTGTATGTCCATACCATTCTAATTGCTTTTGTTGGATAAAATCAAGAATTTAATTTTAAACATTCATTCTAACTCTAATAGTTTCATTCCTTATTTTTCCCTGTCTTGACACCCTTGCAGAACATCTCCAAAAGTCCATTTCAGCTACCAGTAATTTTTTAAGTAACTGTGGTTTCATAGTCCAAACTTCTGAACCACATGTCGTGATACTTCCAACTATTATTTTAAATATTTTGGTTTTGGTATTCGTTGTTATCTGTTTATCCCATAATATACCATTTAATATAGAGATTGTCGACTTTCCTGAATTTATTTTTGATCTAATTTCCTTGTCTTGTTTCCCATCATTTTGTAATTTTCACCTCTAGATATTTAAATTCTTCAGCCTGTGTTATTGTTCCCATCCCTTCTTCCAGGACCAAATCTTCATTTATTTCTCCTATTGTCATATATTTTGTTTTATTCAAATTGGTATTTAGTCCCCATTTTTTATATTCCTCTATCAATTTTCTAGTCATATATTCTATATCATCATAATCTTCAGCTAGAATCAACTGATCATCAAAAAATTGTAATGAATATACTGTATTATCATTTATTGTAATTTCCATATTCTTACATTTTTTCTTCCAAATCTAAAGTTTTTCCAGGGTAAATTTTAAATAATGTGTTTGATATACAGCATCCCTTTGGTAACTTGAAATCCAGGTGACAAATTTTTTCCTATTCTTATTTTAGATATAGAATTTCTGTACAATGTTTGAATTGCTTTTATTATAGTAGGGTTGAAACCAAATGATTGTAAAGCTCTCCATAGATTGGTTAAAGGAACACTATCATAAGCTTTTTCTATATCCATAAACACTAAATGAAGAGGTTGTGCTCAAACTGTTTTCTTTTCAATAATTTGTTGTAAGCAAAAGATATGATCTATTGTCGATCTTCCTGCTCGAAAACCTGCTTGTTCTTCCGCCTCCATTTCCTTGTACTCTTTTTCTAGAAAATATTTAATTATTCTTCCATAAAGTCTGCTTAATGTGCTGGTTACTGTTATACCCCTATAATTTTTACAATTGTCTTTCCTTCCCTTCTTATGTATTATGGAAATATATCCTATTTTCCAATCATCTGATACATCCTCCCCATTTAGGCATTTTTCAAAAAAAGATCTCTTAAAAGTTCATATAATTTATCTGTACCATATTTTAATAGTTCAGTGGAAATTCCTCCAATTCCAGTAGCTCTTCTATTCTTTAAAGATTTGATAGCATCTTTTACTGTTTCTATATCCAAGTGGATGTAATTACCCAATGTTTCATTTAATTCTTGTTGAAGATTCTCCAAATATTCTTCTCTATTTTTTGTTAGTAGTTCTTTAAAATATTTTTCCCATGACTGGAATGTGATATATTTAATATGATGTGTTTCTTTAGAGTTTCTTCTTAAATTTTTTAATGTCCTCCAGGCTTCTGTGCTTCTTTATCCTCCGATAAAATTTTCTGTTTTTTGACATGACTGTTCCCACCCTTTGTTCTTTGCCTTCGCAACTTTCTTTCTGATTTTAGCTTGTTGTGCATTAAGTTCTATTTTGTCCTGGATATTTGGTGTATTTAGCCATTTTACATATTTATCCTTTTTTATTTTTACATCCTTTTCTATTTCCTCATTCCTATAATACAATAATTTTTTGTTGTGTATATTATACTTTTCCCCTAGAGCTTCTTTGGCTGATTTGTGTAAATTATTTAAAATATATTGATACTGAATTTCTGTAGTATCAAAAAGATTTTCTGTTAATTTTTCATTTAATCTCTTTCTGTATAAATATATGGTACTTTCATTCTCTAAACTATTTAAATTATATTTGGGAATATTTATTTCAGTCTTTAAATTCTCCTCATGATTAATTTGATTGTCTCCAACTTCTGTATCTCTAAATGGAAATAACATTTTTGAATTAACTAAAAAATAATCATTGAGTGTCACTCCTCTGTACAATCTGATGTCTTGTATTTTTAATTTTATTTGCGGCTGTATTATAATATAATCGATTATCGATTTTTGAAGTAATGTATCCTGATGCCATATATATTTATGTATTTCTCTATATTGATAGAAGCCGTTCAAAATTTTTAAAGAATTCTGTTCACAAATATCAATTAATCTCTTGCCATTGTCATTCACAATATTTTCTCCAAATGGTCCTATGATTTTACTTCCTGTTTGTCTTCCTGTTCTACTGTTGAAATCTCCCGCAACGATAACTTTTCTTGTATTTCCAATTTCTTCTATTAATCAATTTAATTTGTTGAAAAACTCATCTTTATTATGAGAAAGCTCATCTTCACTAAGTGCATATACTCACAAAATTGTAATTCTGTATCCATGTAGATTTATGTTAATTTTTATCAAATTTTCTTCAATAGGCTCCCAATTTGTGACATTTCCTGAATTTGTTTTTCATCAATACAGATATTCCACGTTTTGCTCGTTAATCTTTTGGTACCCCACAGCATATGATCCCTTGGGTTCAATACCTGTTTCCTTAATTTTTGTTTCTGATAGTATAATAATATCTTGGTTTCTGCTTTCCAATTCTTTAATAACTTTCCCTATTTTATTTCTTAAACCTTGGATATTCCATACACCAATTATCATCCGCCCAGTTTTAATCTCTTGAGTTTTTTAACATTGTTTTTTTTCGATGAATGGGGAGTTGGCCCATTGCATCAACCCCCAACCTGGAGGACCGGGTAATTTTTTTTCAAGGTTTTCTTCCTTTAGCCTTTGATAATCCAATATCTTACTACAAGGCAGTAGTTGCTACTTTTGGTCCGCCCCGGGTATTTTATTTGACTCACCCTGTATATTTTTATGTCCATATATTATCCAGAGCAGACATCAGGTGAAAGAATGTGGGTTCATTTGGCTCTAGATATGAACCACTGGTGAGCTCTTGTGAAGAGAGTAATGAACCTTGGGGTTGTATAAAAGGTGGAGAATATCTTAATTAGCTGAGTGAACTGTTAACTTCTCAAGAATGACTGTAAGTTCTTACAAGAACATTGTATTGTATACTCAGTACTCGGAATAAATAAAAGCGAATACTGAAAGATAAAACTTAGAACCTAGGGAAGATTTATCTTTAACAGAACACTTTTTGTAATCGTGAAGAGGCACGTTTAAATAACTATTTGATTGGCTGTAACTGACAGAGTAACAATTCAGTATGCACTTTTATCAGATTGAAATGTGCCAACATTATGTGGAACAGTTTGTATCAGATGCCATTCTTATGTTTGTTAATATTTTCACTATATGTTATTAAAATGTGAGAATATGAGTGTATTGCTCAGTTAAACGGTTCTTGGTGTAATAAAGAATGATTTGCCCCTATTTTTTGTTATTTGTTCATCAACTGTATGTCATGGATCTGAGAGTCTCAGAGCATGGCTCCTGTTGAGGCTACAATATCTTCCTTTCATGTATCGTATAAAATACCAGTGGTACTAGCTGATGGCCAGAATTTAAATGACCCTTTAAATGTTCAGAGTGCAGAATATAAAAGTATAGAGTAACTGTATCTTTTAAAATCTCAAAAGTCTCTAGAAACATTTTAGACAGTGTTTTGTAAATATAATAACTAGGGTTCGGATGTTCATGAGTTGTCATATTTTTATTGGGGCTTCTATTTTCATTCTAAACTAAAATTAAACACTAATTAGATATTCTAATCACAATTAAGCTGTTTTTATTTTGCATATAAATGCATATTTAGGTCGTTTTTATGTGTTCGGTCGTATTTGTAGTTAAATGCATATTTCGGTTATATTTTAAAGATAAAATTCATATTTTGGTTATATTTGGGGGCATATTTCTCGATTTTTTAGGTCATGAACATCCGAACCCTAATAATAACATTAATTTATGTCTACGTGAGGGAAAAACTTAATCTCCCACCAGCTTAGGGTGAACACAGTCGTTAGAGGTTAGAAAGATTATGCCATTTGTGTTTGCATATGCACGTATAATATGTGTGTGTGCCAGAAATGTTTTAAATTTTTATATTATTTGACTTACCAAATACAAAGCAGAATTGCTAGCCACTACGTCATGACAACTGATACAATATTGTATCACCATTTATGGTGTTGGTGATGGACTCTAGTGTAGGAGGTGGTTAAGACATTTATGTTGGTGGATGTCCTGTCCATTGCCCCTCCATCCACATTTTCATGAGTAAAACATCGTTGAGAATAATCAATTATTTTTCAAAGCTCGGTATCTAGATTATTACATTTGCTTGTTTATATTAAATCATATCAGTGGTCATTGTATGGTTGCCCTCCTGCTTTGTGTTACAACAGACCCCAGGTCTGAATCTTTACCCAGAGACCTGCTGTCATGTCTGAGGTGTTCTAAAGTAAAGAGGGTTGCTTTAAAATGTGGAGAAATTCAGTATCCGTAGAGGACAACGTTATGAGCCGGGATAGCTCAGTCAGTATACGGGCTGGGTGACCAGGGTTCGATCCCCGACGGGGGCAGAGGATTTTTCCTCTAGCCTCTGCGTCCAGACCGACTCTGGGGCCCACCCCGCCTCCCCTTTACGGCACGTAGCGGGACAAACTTTACTTTACTTTAGAGGACAACGTTAATTTTAGATTCAAAAGTCGAGGATGTAAGCAAACTCCTGTGTGTGTATGTAGATGATATATAAAAGTGGAAGATTATTGTTAGATCTCGAATTTAGTTCGGCCAGTGTTTAAGTATGCATCTTACTGCAGAAGAAGCAGTTGTTCATAGAAGAGAAAATGAACTTCGTAGAATCATTTTTCGTAGCATTTAGAGAAAGGGCAAGAAATATATCTAGGGAAAAAGACTTGGAATGCTAAGTCTTATCTGGAAAAATGTCCTGTTGGATAAAAAATAATTGTAAATACTCAGCCCATGCAATAGGAGTGTCTTTTAAGTTACTGGGATTTCCACACTTCTTTTCATTATGGTGAAAATTATTAAAAATAAGCTTAATGGATTCCAGGACATACATAACAATATGTGGTGCACATTAAAAAGCAAAGAACATGGGAAGCCCAGCCATGGTTTTAAAAAATAATGACCACCAGAGAGAAAAATCAATATTTTCATAAAAATAGATAAAGTGGTAAACAGAACTGAAACATTTAGAGAGACTTGGATGACTAAACGTCAGATAGTGCGTGTTCAGAACAGGCTGCTTACTTAACCTTAGCAAAATGGATTAATATTTTAGAATTAAGTTTATTCTGTTTTAGTTCTTTGATGTAAGGGTCTGTAACTAGGCTGGAATGGGAACTGTCATAAAAAACTATAGTAAAACGTTATTCATAATAGCAGCAGCTGAGATTCAAACTAGATACCTCCTAAGTTCAAACCAATTGTCAGCTCTGGAGGTTGTCCATGTGTCTGCCTTCAAATAAAGATATGTAGTGAACTATTTTTGGAATATGAATCAGTTTAGAAGACTATGAATTTTTATCAGATCTGGTTTTGTAAGAAGTTAAATAGGCCTAACTAGTGCTTCAGAATGTTGTGTATTGGAACATTGCAGAAATAATTGTTGTTTTGCTCCGAAATCAAGGAATCCATACAACAACCAAGCAACTGATATGTGTAAGTGACGAAAGCCCAAATTGAACCATGAAGAACGAGTAGTTTATATTTTCGTCAAGAGATGGTATCGCTTGTATTTAGTAAGTTGGGTTGCATATAACAGGTGTTTTTAAGTGAATTTTATGTTCTGTGTACTGACATTGTCACTATTTTAGACTATTGCGTCGAATGGTGGGACTATTAATGAACTGGAAATTATGTTGAACAAAGCGGTCGTTGCCTGATTTAAGGGACTGTCCCGCCACTTTCCTGGGTGGACAGATGCAAACCATGAAAAATTATATCCAATCTCCAGGCCGATATTTGAATTCAGGAACTTCCAAACACAAAGCAAAAGTAATAACCACTCGGCCACGACTTTTGGTTGAAGAATTTATGTTAAAAAAGTAAAAGTTCTGAAATGGCACAGAACATCATTGGAAGTTGACACTCGTAAGATCACTTTTTATCTCTCCATTCCTGTATTTTATGTCAACAACCTCATAAGCACTGTCACGGAAAATGAGGTTTTAGCCTTGAAATCTCATTACGAATAATCGAGTTTAGTTTCACTACAGATTTACTGCTGTGAAAGGTTTGCAGATTTTCTTTGTCATTCTGTATGCTGCTTAGAAAGTAGTAGGCCTATGCTGTTAAGCCTTTTCTCTTTTCTTTCCAGCTTTATAGGATTTTATGAAGTTCTCTGTTTTGTGTTTAAACTATTCTGACTTCAACAATTTATTGAGCGTCCAATTGAAATCTGTTTTTTTGTTCTTTTTGAGAATTCAGGTGCACACGGCGGCGAGAACGGTAGAATTTGATCATATTACTCGGTGCAACACAGTCATGGTTTGGGGTTAATGTTAGCCTACACTGTCCCATTGTTCTTGTGGTCGCTTTGCAGCAGCACACCTACCCCTTCGAAATGAACGTTGGAATACATTTTATTCAATCTCCTGACACGTTCCATTTTCTTTAAAATTAAGATAGCACTTTACATGAATTCATACTAATGTTTCTGGGTGCGGAATTATCGTGGTGGGGAATCCCCATCCAGCCGCGTAATCACCTGGGACTCCTCCTTCATGACTTTGTCAAATACCCCGCCCACTGAGAGTTAATCGATTCTAAACAATTGACGATCGCTGAAGTCATTCTCAAAGGCCAGACTGGGGAACGGGCCAAAACTGTAATTGCATTGATTCAATAAAAAATAAATAAATACACATATATGCATGTTTGTTCTTTTATCTGTTTATTTAGTTGTATGAAAAATACGAATGATAGGCAATTAACGTTACCAACAGTGCCCAGATTTCGCCCTTAATGAGTAGTTTACTCTTCCCAGTCTGTAAGCCATCGATTTTCTAACTGTCGACGCTATTGTCAAAGCTTTAGTACGGACCACAAACCGCACGCGGAAATGAATGTGCCACATCTTTTGAGTCTTAATAATTACGGGCACTTCATCTTTGTCGCCCCACAAATCATTCTCAAAAAATTATGCCCGTGATTCCGTAATATGTTACTGTTTTCATTTGATGTATGTAGGTTACATTTTTACAACACTGGCTGTGGAAATAAAAGTTACTCCACTTTCTACTAAAAATTCTCGACACTTACTGAAAAGCAGTTCATGCAGGTATGAAGGAAGGGGAGTAAGAGAGGTCACTGACCGTTAGATGTAAGCAAACACCCACAGTGGGGGGTGGGATGTAATGGGGAAATTCTTATAACTGAAACTCATTGGGGTCTTTGGCCCAGAAACCGTACATTCTTCCAGTCAGCACTGCCCAAATACTGTTAACAGGTGTATCTTCAGAAACAGGTAGACAGTTTCATCACACTGCCTAATCCAGAGATTCTCAATGTAACCACTTTTTTTCAAGACTGGTACAACGAAGGAAATTTAAAAAAGTGAAATTTAATTTAAATCTTGATATTTTGTTTCTTTCTTTCTTCCTTTGTGTTCTCAATCTAAATAAACTCAGGAGTGGTATATATATTTTTGTTTTGTTTTAATGTACAATAATTTAGACTCCTTGCTCCTTATGGAATATATGTGTCAAAATATTGTTTGAAACTTAACTCGGTCACTGCCTCCATCATCAGGGCGATTCCGTGAAATCGCCCTGATGACGGAGGCAGTATGACCTCAGAAACGTTGGTAAACATCGACCGACTACACGGCGCAACAACCCAGAAGACAGAAATCTTCATACTCATCGCCCTGATAACGGAGGCAGTATGACCTCTGAAACGTTGGTAAACATCGACCATACTACACAGCGCAACAACCCAGAAGACAGAAATCTTCATACTCTGATGATGGAGGCAGTATGACCTCTGAAACGTTGGAACAACCCAGAAGACAGAAATCTTCATACTCACCGCTGTGAAAACCTCAAATCATACGTGTATTATTTTATCAAATATACGCTAAATCCAAAAACGTTTGATGCACTGTAATGCCATTAAATTTTGATGGTGTCGTATGTATATGTCATAAAAATTTACGTTCTTGTGTAAAAGAAGATACAACTTCATCTGAGACAAGTCTGTTCGTGGGCGTTGTATATGCTCAGGTCTCATTTCTTGTTTCTATTTCAAATATGTTCCGCGATAGTGTTATCGCCATGAACTATTCACTTATAAAAATTAAGCCGTTTGTAGGCGGCGTCCCCACGTGTGCTCTTGCCGTTGTGCAAGTAAATACCGGTTTCTTAAACTGAACCAGCTTAAAATCTGTTTGAGGACTGATGTCTACT